GTCCTTAGGGTAAAAATGTCTTCTTTTCCTTCCTGGGTTCTAGCTTTCACTTTGATTTTGACTTGATAATTCCTTATTATCTTGTCAGTTTATTAGCATTTTAAAGAAGATTTTTAAAAATTTACCCATCATTTTTAGTTTCTTGTGGGAGAGTTGTCCAAATATACTAGCCTTCTCTATTTCCAAGAATGGAACTCAAACCCACTTATAGTTGACACAAGTGAGTTCAGAGAGGCCAGTGACTGGGTCAGACCAGTGAGCTGGCTAGTGCAGAGTGGTTGGTAAAATCTGAGTATCTCTTCCAACTCCCAGAGCTGTGTTTTCTGAGATTTTCCCAGTCTATCTGATAGTTTCAATCTTGCACATAAACAAAGTAGAGATTTGAGGATTCAGATCATGAGTTTAATGAATATGGATGGGGAATCATAGAAATTAAAAATTATCTGTGTGTCTTTTTTCAAAATGGAGTCTCTGGCCCTAGTTCTGCCCAGTCTTTGCTTTTGTGTTTTGATGCTGAAGTGTCTGAGGGGTTTATGCAGAACTACTCTAACAGAATGAAATTTTGTGGATTGTCAGGTTGCCTCCTAAACCAGTCAATCCCGTAGAAATTACCAAATGTGACCTTATTTAGGGTAAAATAAATTAGAGATGTCTGGAACAGTGGAACCCATGTTAGTCTCTTGGAAGAATAATTTCTGCCATCCACTTGATGCTTTCCTTTCCCTTCCGCTGCCCAGGTGATTGTGTTTCTATTCTTTATTCCCATCTCGGATGGAGAGTGATGGTCGGACAAGGGAGAGGCGGGAACTAAATGTTCAGACAGCCTCCATCCCAGGCAGTTTTTCACTTGTTACTACGTTGCTTTAATAAATTTCCTGAACTGTTTGTGTGCTTTTATCCCATACTCGTTGTGACTCTTGTTCCCCTTTTGTTTTTCGTGTAGAATTTTGACCCGTTTCTAACAAATCTCCAGTCCATCACAGCGTACATTTTGCTAAGCTTATCATATTTCTGGATTTATCATTCCCCTATTTTTATTTTCCAGTCTCTTGATTTCTTCAAATATTTACTCTTACATATTTGTGTCGTATATAATTCTGTAATCTTTTGTGGACCCAAGAATAGGCATAAACTCCCAAATGTTTTCACTCTGCCTAGGGAGACCTTTGAGAAGTAACATTCAGGATGGTCATGGAAAGAAATGACGTTCTTTCAGGGAGGCATTTACAGTGGCGGAAAAGAGTACACCCTGGCTTTGGCGTTGACAGCACCTGTGTGTGCTGCGTGCTTGGGAGACCTTCCTGTTCCGTCGAAGCCTCAGTGTTTTCATGTATGAAATGGTGGTTCTGATAGTGCATTGACGTGCTTAGCACAGTGTCAGACGTATATTTAAGATCACTAAATGTTAGCTGCTATTGTATTTTGAGAGATGGAACAGTTCAAGTAGAGGGAATAAATAGCAGGTACAAAAACGTGGAGGCACAGAAGTGCGTGCAGTGCCTGTGTATACCTGCAGGCATTAAGGAATGGCCCATGGTAGGACACGTGCAGGTTTACTAAAAAGTGAGTCAGGGCAAAATGCAAATGCGTCTGGATACAGATGTGATGGGCCTGTGTGTTGAACGCTGTTGAATCTGGCACCCTCGGCAGGAATTGTAAGATACGGACGGAGTGAGAGAGGCAAGGGGTGGTGGTGCCTCTGCTCTTGTGTTCCCGATAAGGCAGGCTGGTGGTTCTCAAGCTGCGGTGCACATGAACATGACTTGGGGACCTTGTTAAAAACACCGTGTTCTCGGGAGATCCAGACTCAGTAGGTCAGCAGTGGGCCCCGAGATGCTGATATTGCAATTAATATGCCAGGTGATTCAGAGGTAGGCTGTCCTTAGATGCCCTCGGAGTTGTACTGGGGTAGCTGTTGAGGAAATGCTCACTAACTGGCAGGCCTGATGAGGCTCAGTGGGAGGGACGATGGAAACGAATGACTTAAAAGCAACACGTTGACATTCATTATGAGTCACAGATATCAGTGCTCTTGCTTCTGTGGCTTCTTGCTCTGGATAAATGAGCACCAGTCATATGGGTATTTTTTTTCTTTCTTTTTTTTTTCAAAGAAAAAAGTTATCAGAGATCATATAATTGTTCTATTAGGTTTGGGAGAGCTAGAGATTGGTCCTTATCATTTAGATCTAGCAGGAGGCCAAGGGGTGGAGAAAAGCCTGTTTAAAAGAGATCAGTGAAAGGGAGGAAGCAGAAAGGAAGGTGGAGCAGTGTGAGGTCAGGAAATGAGAAAGACAGAAACGAGAAGGGATGGCAAAAGAGGAGTCAGATCTGATTGGTTGGGAATCTATTTGCGAAGGAACCCAGCCAGTATTTAACCTGTTTTGAAAAAGCTAGGCTTCCAGCATTTTTAATTAGTGGATTGCTCGCTTTTGAAATTGCCCAGTTGGGAATACTCAAGTTTTGATGTGTTTTAGCTGCCCGCTAATTAGCAGGCTGCCTGGTCCACCATCATTTTCCCTTTGTTCTGTGGACGGAAGATGTTTGTGAAGGTCTCCTGAAACGCTCCAGCTCAAGTTTGGGTTAAAAGGCATAAGCCACTGTGTATTCAGGACGAGTTTGTGCTAAACTATAAGTTAAATTCTAGTACAGCTTTTCTCCCAACTCGATTCTTCCTTTTTGCTCTTTAATGTAATTTTCCCTCAGCACAGGTCTGTCTTCTCATTCTAGACGCAGTTGAGACTTGGGGACGGAGCATTTTTTTGTTGTGGGAATTCTACTCTAACATTTATAGGGCGTTTAGCAGCATGCCTGGTCTCTACCCACTGATGACAGTAGCACTGCCCCTCCACCCCTTTCCCCACCCCAAGTTGTGACAACCAAAAATGTCTCCAGACACTGCCAAATGCCTTCTGGGGGCCAAAATCGCCCTCGTGGGGAATCGTTCCCCTTTCCTTCTTGTCTTTGCCAGCTTTTTGTGTTTAAATTTTTCCTTGAGAATTACAAAGACAAAATAGGTCCAAACGATATGAAATCTTACAGAATGTAGGGATTCAACTCTGCCTTCATTATGTTTTGGCCAAATACAAGAGGACATAATCTCTCAAATGAATCTGGTCTGGCTGTTTCAGGTGAAAAGGAAGTGAAGACACGTGGGACTTCTGAAAGTCTGCACTGGTCGAGAGATTTTTGTCGTTTATACCTTTTGTTGTTGAACGTATTTGATTTTGGTTAGGGATGAAGGGAGCCATAGAGGCTTGTAAAAACTCCCAAATCCAGAGGCTTTTAAGTCACTTCTTCAAGTATTTCAGTTCAATCTACCCCCTAGGCTGGGAGTGGAGTTGTTAAAACAGCAGGTTTGGGGAAAGTGTTGCACCTTCTCTCCAGAATGGATGCATTTCCCAGAGTTTTCTTGATATTCCTTAAAGCTCACGGTCAAGGAATTTAGCTGTCTGCGGGGTGCGTGTGTTTGCCGGTGCCTTATCTTCTGAAGCACCGACAAAGGGAACAGAAATATTTGTTTAAAAAAAAAAAGAGAAAGAATTCAAGTTTATTTATTTATTTATTTCTCGAGTGTGCAGTGGGGGATGGACAGAGAGAGAATCCCAAGCAGGCTCTGCACTGTCAGCGCAGAGCCTGACGTGGGTCTCGAACTCACGAACTGTGAGATCATGACCTGAGCCGAAATCAAGCATCAGATGCTTAATTGACTAAGCCCCCCCGGGCACCCCAAGGATTCAAGTTTAGTGCTAATAGTAAGTTGGTTTTTGTTGTTCTGTGCCATCTCTTAAGATATTCTAAAACACTGTGTACTCCACTGTACCCCAGAATAAATCAGTTTTAATTATACTATGATTTCTTTTGCTGGTAATGAAATAGCAGTAATAAAGGAATAACAGTAGTGCATTAGGAAAATAAACAGTATCACTGAAATGTTAGGAAACACAGTAAATGGGATTATGTCTCCTGAACCAGAGTTTCAGACCTTCTCCTCCAGTTGTGTCAGAGGAAGCTTCTGATGGCTGTCTGTTATCAACCATGATCCAAATAATAGAACAGTGAAACTTTGTATACTTATAAAGACCTTTCATCATCAATATCAAAGCCATTGCTATATAGTGACTGATCTTTAAAACACTTTTATGTTTTAAGCAATTAATATGATAACTTAGCTGTTCCACTCATCATCCTGAGTATTCGCCGCTAGAAGCACTGACCGAGCATGTAGTAATCTGGTCAGCATTAGAACTCTGCTGGTACAGAGTTCAGAAAAATTCAACTTTCTGGTAGTTCATCGAGGTCTCTTCACTATCACTTGGCAAGATAAAAAATGGCTTTAACAACATTAATTTTTACATCTCAGTACCCAGATTAAGGATTGTAGTCAAGTGGTAAGTCTATTAAAATAATTAAAATATGGAGACGGTGTTGTTTTTACTTAAAACATTTAAAAAAATCAAATTCTAGTCACCTTGTAGTGTACTGGTGGTAACAGACCACTGAATCCTTTTCTGCCTTGTATGTATTTTGTTCCATGTCTGTTGTCTGGTGTAATAAACCTTGACTAGAGAACAAACAGGTATCCAAGAGCATGATGGCACAGAGGCTGCTAATGTTAGTATGAATATTTGCCTTAACTGGCTTTTTGAAATACCCATTAAGGTTGTATTTGTGTATTTTTGAACTTATTTTTTCCAAAAGATCTTCTAAAACTTTAAGTGCAGTTTCATGTCTATAAAAGTTGAGGCTAGGAAACACTGAAGGATGGAAGTAATTTTGATGTTCATACCTCTGGTTCCTGAGGGTCCAGTTCATTTCTGCTGTGAATTTAAATGAGTTAATTTAAGTAGATGGGTCAGAAGCCACTATCATCGTGGTAGCCCCGTGCCTGATTCTTAATTAAAGGCAACAGGAGATTAATTTGAAACATTAATTTAAAAGTGCATGTACAAAAAGAAAGAATTATTGCAAGAAAGCCTAAAGAACTTTTCTCTTGTCCCTAGATGTAGAAGACAGAAGTAGCTCAGGGTCCTGGGGGAGCGGAGGACATCCAAGCCCGTCCAGGGTAAGTATATCTAATCTTTTTCCCACAACCAGACATGCCGCATATGTAAATTGACAAACTGAAGGTGAGTTTCTCTCTCTCACACACAACTGCACAGATACATATATGCATACTAAGTTTAATGAGGATCAGCTTGTGTTTGCAATTTTTTCCTCTCATTCTCTTATTGGATGCTGTTATTGAATTTGACACCTGTTCCACTTCTGTGAACCAGAAGAAAAATCCTTCATTAAATATTTGCCCTTACTTTGCCAGTTATTGATCCAGTATTACAGAAAGTTATTTGTTGTAGATGGCACAACTTGGGGAAAAGAAAAAAAAATCTTAGTATCCCTAGTAATGTGTTGGTATAAATAGACTAGAGAATAATTCTGAAAACATAGTATGAAGTTCTGTCTGACCAGTATTATCTACATAACAAATCAGAGTTGATTTCACTTTGTAAGCATGAAATGTACCAGTTGGGTCCATTCATTTACTTGGTTTCAGATGTTTACTACTCTTTTTCATGGTTTACTCTCATGCCTTCGTTGTCAGTTTGGGTGTAATGGGAAGAGCATGGAATGGGGTGGGACTGGGGTATGTGTAGGTGGGAGCAGGCAAAGTGTAGTTTTGTGTGTGTGTGACCTTGGGCATGTCATTTTACTTCTTCGGTCCTCATTTTTCGAATTTGTAAAATGAGAAAAGTAAAAGCAGAGGATCTTTTATGTTCCTTCCCACTTAAATATATATGATTTTATGTATAATCTGTTTTTAATGGAATCATTGCTAGGCCCTCTAAAATCCATGTCAGCTTTTCTAATATGCATATAAATACCCCAAATTAAAAATAGACTGAAAGCACATAGTCAAACAAACACATGTCCCTCCCCCAGCCAGCTGTATAAATGAAGCATTCTGCAGGGAGGGAACATTTTGCTGTAAGTATTCACGTAAATTTGAGGTGGGGAGGGGTTTCTATTTTGGCATAAGAGGCAAGGAAGGTGATCAGGCTGTCACAATGAAGACATTTCAGCAAGCCACTGTTGTCCGTTTCCACCTGTCTTTTGACCTTGTGGTTCTCACTGTGGTCTTTGTGGTGCAGCAGGGTCTCCAAGCTCTAACTTTGTTGAGCCATCGCACCAGCTGTCGGGTTTGATATCCTAATGCATTATATGGATGGGTTGAGGAAATCTTTCCTCCTCCTCACGTTACAGCCTGCACTTGCAGAAATAAATCCATTCCCCTTGACAGCAAGTGTAGGAGATGACAGAATTTCCCCCCGTTGTTTAACTTATTCACACAGGGTTTCTTATGATTTCTCACTTTAACACACATGGTACTTTTGATTGTTCTTCTGAGAACAAGGTCCCTTAGTATCATCCTGACTTTTTTTTTTTTGGTTTGCGGTGACTGTCCTGACATTGTTTTTCAGGAAACATTTTGGTGAATAATTTTCAATCAATATTTTGTAATTTATATTTTTCTAAATTTAGGGAGTTTGCATGCGGCAGATTTCTGTCGCTGATTCGTACCGACCCATGCTAAGTCTGTGTTCTCTCTTAAAGTGGTGATATTATCAGCTACCTTGAGGCACTATGCTGAGGTTTAAATTAGATAGTGTATATTAAGCTTTTAGTACACTGTTTGGGATGAGGACACTTAATAAATAAAAATCAGTATAATACAGTACCTGGAGTGTAAAACCCATGCTAGGCGTTTAAAACGTGACATCTTTTTATACACTGATATATTGGCAGCATGAGATTACAATATCATTCAAGTTAATTTTTCTAAATGAGGGAAGGTGATTAAAAACAGGATTATTTGGAACCTTATAGGTTCCAGTTATTTTCTAGGGAAGTGATGTACAGACAGTATCTGTCTTTCTTTGTGTGGACAGATTCTGCCCTTTGGCTAACATGGCAACTGACACCTCTGAGTAAATTTGACTTGGTCTTTGTGGGAGGTACAACCAGCTGAGCAGATCGACCCTTTTTTTTTTTTTTTTCCTTTTTGGTTACTTTATGCACCTTAGTCAGAAATGTGAACCCTACAATATAGATGATTTTTACTTTTCCTGTATGTTACCAATTCCTCCATTAATAAGTGACTGGGCAGTTTAAAACCATTATTTTAATTTTAAATTCCATCAAAACAATGAGATAATCATCATAATGACAAATTCTTGCCAAAAATTAATGTCTGCTTTTAAAACTTTTTTGTGGCATACTTTGTCCGAATCCGGAAGTACTAATTTATGCTAAAGTTTTATGTTCATTCACAGTCCTGCTGTAGTAATTTTAACATTCTTTCATGTTAATTACTTGTGGAATGATCCAATTCTCGTACAACTATAATAACAGCTATAACAAAACATTGAAATTTCAATACTGTAAAAGCGAATGTTGTTTAAAAGGCTGTACTTCTATAATTCATTATAGGCTATGGGTAATTTTCCCTGATAGCACAATCTTGCTTGTTTTTTTTTTTAAATAATGTGGGCTTACTAAAATAATAATTTTAATATTTACAGTGTACTTTATCCATGTCAGGTGTAATACATACATTATTTCACTTAATCATGTCAACAACTTCATCCCGTTGTTTCTATTACTATTATTATTTCTAAGATTTCATAGCTGTTATGAGGAAAACTTGAAATCTGCAGCCTATAGAGCCTCTCTTACCCACTGGACCTGTGAAGATGGAGGTTCCTTATAATGAGTGGGAATGTAACTGGAAATGTGGACTTCAGTGTCTTTGGGTCACAGAGGTGTCGATAGGGGGTGTTTATATGCTGATTTCTTCATGCAGGATGAAAACTTAGGATGTTGTTTTATTTACAGAACTATGGAGATGGGACACCCTATGACCACATGACCAGCAGGGACCTTGGGTCACATGACAATCTCTCTCCACCTTTTGTCAATTCCAGAATACAAAGTAAGACTAATTTTAAATTGACCTGCACTTTTTGAATGCTTGTATTTTACCATAGAAAGGGGAGAATACAGTCTAGACAGAGGTTCTGTTTTTAGGAACTGGGATCTGTAGGCAGTTCACTCTAGTAATTGTAAATTGCAGAAAAATACTGACAGTTTATGCTTGGTTAAAGGACTACGTTTTATAACCAGGTGGAATCACAGGATTTCAGTGATACTGAATCGCTGTGGGGATTGTCTTCCTTAGATAGAAGAGCATGAATTCCAATTTCAATGTTGCAATACTTGTTTTCTGATTTAAGGTTGACAGAGTCAAAGTGGTGAATATTTAAAATAAAAATATCTTTGGGCCTGTCCATTGGCAATGATATATAGTCAGTATCACCTGTGAATTCTTACTAAAGGGATTACGGTAACACCTTTAATAATAGGTTTAGAGCGCTTAAATCAGAGTAGTGAATTCAAGCTGAATTAGGAAATCTGGTTGTGTATTTATTGAGGTGTGAGCTTTTTAGTGCTGATGGTCTAGGCAGATTGTATTGTCCTTCACTGGAAGCAAGATACACTTGAGATACTTTGTGAGTTTCCAGCATGCCCTCATACCGGTGTCCTTGGCATACTTCTCTGTTTTGTTTACCCTGTGGGGATGTGTGTTCAACAGTAGTAACCTGAGCAGTGGGCAATAGCGGGTTGCTTCAGTTTTGTGTGAAACAATGATCTTTGCCCTAGTAAATGTGAGTTTTTAACAATGTTAATAAATCTCACCATGGTCAAATTCTATTGCAAATCCATCAATAAATGAAATTAAATTTCTTGGCACAAGGCGTTGGACCATCCTCCAAGAAAAACACACAGCCAGAATTGTATCATTCTCAAACCATAATTGCAAATGCTTCTAAAGAATTTCCCTATTTTTAAGCCTTGGAAGCTATACTTGTTATTTAATGTATAGATAGTCCTTGAAGCTCATTGTTTTCAAAAGTCACCATCAAATCCATCTAAAGGAATTTCAAATATTTGACATAAAGTAGACAAAGCAGAGAAATACTAGCAACCTATTTTAAATGGGTAATATCATATGCTTGTGCCTTTAAGTATCATGCCAACTTTGAGAACCATGAAGTTGTGTGTGATCCTAAGGCTGTTATTATATTTGTGTTCCCTTTTACTTTAAAATGGTAAGTTTCATATTTACATTTTAATTTTGTAGCTAAAGCAAGCATCTTGGTTTTTATCAATTGTTGATACGGAGGTGCAGGATATGGAGATACAGAAGACTAGATATATTTGCCAACCTAGATTTTAAAGAACAGCTTTAGACTCTTTAGTGACAGTAGCACTAACATTAAATTCTAACACCTTGTTTCTCCAGTTATCCTCATTCAATTTGACAACACAGAATAAAAGATTAACTTGAAAATAATCTTGGGAAGGAGTACTTAAAGGGCATATTAAAGAACTCCCTGAGAAGTTTCTAAAACTATTTTCTGATGAGTGAAAGTAAAATAGGACAAATAAATTACTACTCATATTTAGAAGTTTATGTTCTGTCCGTGAAAAAAGGGTTTCTTAAGGAAGAACTTGATAAATTAGTATCACGGAATACACCAAGCAATACAAGGATATTCAATATTTGTTTCTTGTTCATCTCTTGCCTCATGGGCAACTGTTTTACCAGCCAAATTTGCTTTTCAATCCAAATGGTATTTAAAATATAAGTGGGCTGAGAGTCTGGAGCTAGAGCAGTGAGAGCTGACTCTTTTCACTTAGTTGTTGTTTAAGCTGAAAGTCCATGTCAGCTGTGTTCTTTTATCCCGTCTGCCCTCCTTCCCATTAAACTCTTAAATATGGAGGCCAAGACAGTCTCCTGCATTGTGATAGGAAATGCTACTATGTCCGGGAGGCTCCCACCCACTGTTCCCCATGAAAGGACTTCTCTGTTAGATAAGCTGTCTGGTCTGAAACATGGCTCTTTATTGTTTACAAACTGCTACATTTTCCACCTCAAGCAGATTTTTGCACAGAATAGAATTGTGCTGGGGCTAAATGGTTTATCTGACATTAACGGGGCAGTGTCAGACTGGGGTCAGGAAAGTCGCCCTCAGAGCGAGAGGGCACGGCGCAGTCTGCAAAAAAGGGAAAAAAGACATTGAAACAACTATGAAATACCTTGCATTTTTAGTTTGGAAAAGAATTTAAAAATATTTTTAGAGAACTGCCCATGATGCTTCACGAACTCTTCCCACCCCTGTAATTTCTCACATCCCAAATGCCTTCTTGATTGGCTTGTCTATCTCGGGGCTAGATTAGGGGGGAACAAAGCTTCTCATTGATTTTTGCCCAAGCCGCTGTTTATTTAAAATAAGACCACTTTGAGATGTTATGCGGCACTTTTACAAAGAGAAGATGGGTTGTTTTCGAGAAATTAAAGACAGCCAGTTTACAAATGGAGGCGGAGATCAAGGAAGATCTATTAGTGTGGCCACAAGTTTGAACTCACAGAGTACATGGTATGATCTGAACTGCTCTTTGTGTCCAAATCCATATTCTGTGTCATGATCCTGGTGCAAGTTTTCATTCTTCCAAAAGCAGGTGTTAGACTTCATTGTGAGTTTTTGACTACAGTCAATACCTGCTTTCAGAATCTTTAGTTTTCAGTAAAACTACAAAGGATTTCTTTACATGTTAAAGACTTGATTCTGCTATGATGTCACAATTAGGGTAAAAGCTATAGCATAAGAAATAAATCAACCACTTTATATTGGAGCGGATTCTGTGTTGTCAAATCAATCAAGCCTGTGACTGAATTAGGCGTCTGCTACAGAAACAAGTGACACTAATTTTACAGGAAAGAGTTATTAACTGCAGATGACCCGATTTTTTTTTTTTTTTTTTTAAGTAAACTGTTCACTTAGCGAGGTTTTATTTTCTTGCAAGGAAAGAAAAAAGTAATGAACTGCTCTCTCCTTTTGGGAGTGCATCATTGTTATATATTTTGTCCTTTATGGCAATACACTATTTTGGAGAAACCATACAGGCATTGCTAACATTTGCTCCTGAACTCTTACGGTAATAAAACCCTTTATTATAACTCTGAACTTTTTGATTTCACATGAATGGCTTTGCATAAACATTGTACTTTTTGTGATATAAATACTTATGTTTGGCACCAAAACACCAAAACTCAATGTATTTATGCATTTCGATTTTTTCCAAAATGGTATGTCATTTATAAGAGTAAAAGACTATCTTCATTAATTTATTCTTTTAGAAACAAGCCTGCATATCTGAATGTAATACCCTATTTGATAGTTTGTGAATCCCTGAAGTAAAAATGGACAAATGAATGCAAGTGTACTTGCATGCATGGGTTTGTGCACACATGTGCGCCGCACCCCCCCCCCCCACGCCTATTCTGTTGGAATTAATGACACTACTTGGTTTTTAAGGCTACACCACTTCTTCCATTACTGTCTGTAATCACAGTTGCCATACAAAGTTTGGAAGTTGATATTGTGTAAATTCTTTAAAGGAAAACATAGCTAAAATAAACAAAAAAGCCAGCCCCTAATTTTTTTTTTAAATAACCGTGCATGACTTTTTGTTTTCCTTTTTGTGTGGGGGAGTCCGGAGGAGTTGAGAGACGATAGCACTGAGTCGTCTAGCTGACTGTCTGCACTGACCAGTTCATATATGCACTCTCTTTTTTTTTTTAAATGTTGTTTATATTTTTATTGAGGTATAATTGACATACGACGTTGTGTCAGTTTCAGGTGTACAACATAGTGATATGATATCTGTGTACCTGACATTTCCAGCATCCTCACTCATTGCTTTCTTTGGGTGGAGACGAGCAAGCTGGTTTGCATTTTTACTTGTTTGAAATGCCCTGTCCTGTTTCATGTCTGGAAGCAACAAATCACTTTTTCTTTGTGACTACTTACGATTATTAATGGCAATAATGTACACTTGATCTACTGGAAACTTGTTCGCTGAAGTTTTTAAACAGTTTGATTAAACCTTTATAGGGGATCAGTGAATAGCTTTCAGAATATGCTGAAAGGACAGAAGGGCCATGGGTCTGAGGTTTGTGTTTTTAGGAGGATTATATGCTCTGGAAAAGTCTGAAAATCCCAACAAGAGCTATATGCAAAGAGTATGGATTTTTTAACATTTCTGACCCTGTTTGTTTGTTTTTTTTTTTGCAAACTTTAAACTTCTGCAAATAATTGTCCAAATGTTTTTACAATGGGAAAACAATATATTTTCTAGCTCTAACTTTTTGATCCAAGGAAGGCTCTAAGCATGCATTTTCCTTCTATTGTTCCAGAGGCTTATTGAAAACTAGATTGTTTGAGTGAGCAAGTTGCCAGTAAGATTATAGACATGCATTGGTAACTGAAGGATGTGAAAAGTGATACTTTTGTACAGTTGGGTGCAGCTTAGTTCAACATCAGCTGCTGTGTTTTTACATGTCCCATTGTGAATGGTTCAGTTTCCTTACTGTGGTATTTGGTTGTAGCCCCACTAACGGTAACGGTACTCTACCAGTGCCCTGAATAATTTCCCACTGTAGAGTAACTGGTTTCTAAACTAGCTCAGTGGAACATTTTACTGCAGGATTAGATCGGGGTTTCAGGCAGAACTGAAGAAGGCTGCTGGCTTATAGGATGACCTTTGAATCTCATCTGGGTTAGCGGTTGATATTTTGATTTGGTTACTGTGGTCATATTGTGACAGCTGCTAGCTCATTATAATTCGGTTCCACTGCTCCGTTTGCCTAGCAGGAATATTTAGGTTTGTATTACTTCAAAGTGTTTATGACTACCCTGAGTTTAGCCCAGCATAAAGGTGAAGTGTTGTGAGTGTTTTCAAATCCCAGTGGCAGAGGCCAGTGGCACAGTCTTCTTGTAAAATGGTGAATGTGAGTAGATGCTAATACAGGGAGTTTTTCTTTTCATTGTAAAACTGGAAATAAACCTAAATGAAGAGACTCTAACC